TTATGAGTTGTAGTAATGCTGATGAATTTACCAGTTTTTTATGGAAACGGTTTGTATTGTAGAACCGAAGCCTTCTACCTCAAAAGGTGAAGTTTTCAATGAACAGGCAAGAAGGCGTTTGAAACGATATACTCGGTACTTCCCGGTTATGCTTGCTGATGCTTTCATTTACAATATACCGTCTGTAAGTTTTCCAGTTGAATTTTCATTCTTAATGAGACTTTGCTTAGGTCATAAACAGCTACTTGCGAGAATATTTAAAGGGGGCTTGGGTATGATTTGACTTTTCTGGATTTAAGGATTTGAGTAGCGTTGCCTAGGCGGTCAAATAAGCTCTTACAAGATCATTTTTTTCACCGTAAAATATGTTTAAATTTGTTGTTTCGTTCTCTGATGTTTGTTCGAGGTTTTTTATGTGTTTGCTTTTTAGAGGTTTGAACCTTTGTTGTCCTTGGTAAGGAAAGATGAACTGTCTGCAAGCGATTTGAGTAAGTGCAAAGAGTGCATATGTGCTTTAGTCGCTTTTCGAGATTCTAAGGAACCTTTAACAATGAAGACATTCGAGTGTAAGAAGTTGAAAAAATTACAGAACAGGTAGTTACTTTGAAAGACAGTTGATTGAGGAGCGTGTCTTTTATCGTATTTGTTTTCCTTCAGCAGTTTCAGTCTTCATTTCGATCTATATGTACTGAATAGCAAAGGGGCCTGTATTGAGGTGCTTGTCAGATTCTCAGTCATTGTTAAGAAATGCGGTTTCTCATCTCTTAGTTCAATACTGTTACTTGTAATTAAACAGAGCTAAGTTGGTCCGTACAGACAGTCGTGGTAGAGTCTCCATACTTATGTTTATGTGTTTTTAAGTCGATATTTGCATCCGAACATATTTTTTTAGAGAGGATCAGTTGAAAGTTGCTATGCGCGAGGTTTTGCTTCATCTTCGGAACTACGTGAACAATTCGGGGAAACATTTAGAAGTCTACAACATGTTTATACAGGTCGTTTCCTTCTCTGATTGCTTTGTGGAATGTTAGTTGCTTTAATAGTCAGTTGTTTAGTTGTCAAGAATAATTTTAAATTTATAATTTTTTTAACAAATTATTTTACTTTTTTGATGCTGCTGTTGACGATGGTAATAGTTGTGTTGATTAAGTAATAAGCTTGGTTATCCTAGGTTTACAATGAATTGATTGTATTTCTAGTTATCTGGTTTGGACAGATCAGCAAACCTTTCAATATGCGATGTCACTCTGACAGAAACGGCAGAATTATGGTGAATGGTTTTTCATTTTGCTTGTATATGTCTTTTATATTGTTTTAAAAAAAGAATTGTTATACAGTGCGCCATCGACCTCGTTTGAAAGCGCATCGAAGCTTCAATCCGCAAGTGATACTTGTGTGAAAAGTTCTAGCGAGCCACCTTCGCGTAGCCCCTCTGCTGATAGCATGCGTTCGCAGAGCAGGAGTAATTCGCCGTTATCTAAAAGGCCTCGAAAAGAAAGGAAATGGCCAGTAGGTGGGCTACTAAAATAAAGTCTTAAAATTCAACACTAATCTTGGTAGCAACTACTTGTACGCTAAGGAATGTCTTAGGTGTTAAAAAATTTTCTTGTTGTTCACAAGTATACTTCATTTGCAGATGAAGTTAAAGCAAGGGACTATTTTTACGATGAATTACAAAAGAAACGTTGGTCTCGGTGGATTGATTGTGTTGGACGCACTAAAAATATGCCACTCTATGCTAATCCGGAATTCGGTGATGAGGTAAAAGGCGCAGATATAAAAGGATCTTGACCTTCAGATAACTGCTCTCTATAATTCGTATTGTGATGAACCTCTTTAACAGTGATGATCTGCTACTGTTTTTATGACAGTTTTTTTCTCAATTGTATAAATGTAACTTTTACTGCTGTTCTCAACAGTGAAAAATGTAGAGCTTTGTTATTTTGATATTGGATGATTCTCTTTTTGAAATTATTAGTGTTGAATACAGCAGTCACCGCTGCTATTAGCAGAAATTTATAAGTTGTAGATGACGTGTATTTGTTCCTATTTCAATTCACCTGAAACGCGGTCTACCTCACACATTGTTAAGAGGAAGCGTATTTTAGTCGAGATGTGCTACTCGGTGTTCGTTAGATAATATATTTCTTGCATTAGTTTGACGTTTTGTTCATTTTTTTTCATTCATTTGTTGGGAGCTAGTGTATAATTAGTTGTTTGTATTCGACTGGGATTGAGTGGAAATATTAAATAATTATTAAAAAATCTAACGTTCAAGGCAGTTGCTGATTTTATTATACTGTTGGATCGTGTTTCACGCCGTACGGGTAAATTTGTGCGTCAAAGGTGACGCTCTTTTAGTTACTGTTGATTTGGTGGTGGCTTGGTTTTGCAGAGAAGTCGGTAGGAGATCAGCGGAGTGGCTTCATTTTTTCTTTTGGTAAGGTTTTTGTTAGTGTCTTCTGCTTTTTTTCTGTGGTAAACAATTGTAGGGTAAGGCTGCAGAAACGCTTTAGGCGTAGTTGGTGGGGAGTGCGGGAGTTTCAAGTCCAATGTGCAAGATGCAGAGCTTTTGTATGATACCAATTAAGTTTAGTGGGAGTATCTTTTGAACGCAGCACTTGGTTTGACATAAACCTTGTTGAGTCCGGTCTGGCTAAGTGACTTTTAAGCTCCTGTGTCCACGTTCGACGCTGCAAAACATGCGCAAAGTCTTAGTGCGCAGATGACACAAAATCACGATAGGAATGTGGTACCATCGGTTTTAGGGGCGGTCTTGACTTTGAGATCATTGTTATTAAACGGCAAAAAATGCTGCTAGGTAGGGAAGAGCAAAGTACATCACATTCAGGACTTGGTCGTCACTTTAAGCGTCGCTGTGAGGCGTTCTTGTGAATGCTGGGAAGTGGTTTGGTAACAAGAAGTAAATACAGAAGCAAATTTCTTGAACAGGGTACTGAGGGGATTTAAAATTTATAGGTGATTCACGAAGAAACGACTAGTCGAGAAGCGACACATTTAGAAGTAGGTATGTAGAAATTTAGCTACATGAAATTATTAGCAAAGAGCTTTTTAAGAGCTCAATAACAATGACAACTGGAATAAGAAGTTGTAAAAACCCGGAATGGTTAAGAGAACTTAAAAAAAGATTTTCCAGCAGAGCAGCTCAGCAATTATTCCATTAAAATATATAGAAATGGAAGCCATATTAGAGATTTTCACAGTGCTTAATAAAGAAATCAGGGAGGAACTGATACGGAAGGCTTGCAGGCAAAGGTTCTACCTTCAAGTGAGTTTCTTCAGGTAGAAAATCCATTATGTAGTACTGTAGGTCTTTTGCCTGATCTAACTTTCGCTTGATGAAATTCAGTGCATCATGTAAAAAATTAAATGAGACAGTTGCAGACCACAAATAGTTGTTTTTTGGAAGACTCTGGACGTTCAGGCATTCTGTTTGGAAAACTATACCTGAAATTACCCATTACAGTCACCAGAGAAATTCAGATCATCCCGTGGGTTATGTTTACTTGGCATAGACTTTCAAAACGTCACGTTCAGTTACAATGATAACTGTAGCGAGACGAAGTTGTGAAAATCCGGAATGGTGTAAGCGAAGTCAAAGGAAGATTTTCCAGCGGGGAATTAAGATCATTCAGTAGATTATGTTCACTTGGTGTAAACTTATATTCAAAAAGCACTAAAACTTTTGTTGAACCAAAGTTAACCAGTAACTATTGTCTCTAATTACTTTAACCATATAAGACCGCTGGACTAAATTTTAGGCAGTAGGTTGTGAGCGATAATGCAACTGGATTTCTCTACCAAAAATCTACGAAGTGAACGTCAAGCGCATACCTCGATTATCACGAAATCCCACGACTATTTCATTGATTCCCACTAGGAACGACTGTAGCCACCATTTGAGCGATTTGTATCTCCAGAATGAGCGTTTTAGACTCTCGTGTTGAGTCTTGATCTCGATGTAGCTGCCCTCTACAAAGAAAAATAAAATGAATTTTTAGGCAACAAATTATGATTATGCTCAGCAGAACAGAGACATCCATTTTTTAGTATAGACTCACGTATGAAATCAGTTAGATTAGGAGGAGGAATTGGGATTACAAAAATGTTGTAGACCTTTTAAACAGTTATCCAGAAAGATTAAACAGCAGATACAAACTTGAATTGATGCAATCGACTTCGGCTGCTGAGAAGATTCTGATTTTATTGGTTTTGCCAAGTGCGGTGGAAAATACCACGGAAAACTGTTCAATGTCATTAACAGGCTCTTTGGTATCTCTGGTTCCTATGATTAAAATTTGGGACATATCTTAAATTACTTTCTGTCCCCGGCGAGGCCATTTATCAAGCCTTTTTAGCAAATGTAGTTATAAGTGATTAAAATTAGCCATTTACCATCTGGGGTTCTGAGAGTAACATATTGTTCGAATTTAAACCCCCAGTAAGTCATGAGCCGGTCCCTATCGGAAACTTCGCTGCGTTGAACCTTTTTTTCATCTGTGTCGAACTCGCAAAGGAATATGACAGATTTAAACCGCACGATAGCAACTCGAAAACCTTCTCTTTCTGTGTAGGGAAATGCAGCAATTTTTGTCAGCAGCCCTCGATAACAAACAATATCAGCACCCCAAAAAGCCTTAATTCACGTCCAATAATACAAAACAACGCCTTACATTCTGCTTTCAATGAATAAAATGAATTATTTTTGACAGATGGCTCAGTAGAAAAGTTGGAATGAAATGGCTGATTTTGAATAGATTTTGGAACAATGCTTCATAAAAAGGACAAATCTTTCTTTTCTACGACCTCTTATTTTCTCACCGCGTTATTTTCACTATGTGTGCATCCTTCTAAAGCAAAAAGGATGGAGACACAAAAACAACCGGTTTTTCTTGAGCGTTCGTTACTTACCTCTTTGGTCATCTCATCCTGCTGACTTTTCATGACAACCCACTTCAACAGGACATCCAACTTCTCCATTTCAAATTCGTCTTTGCTCAAGAAAGTACTATACCCTTGTGACAAATCTAATTGACACTGTCTTCTAGTCATTTTTTCGTTTAGATATCGAAGTAACTTCCTGCCATCTGATAATTCTTTGTCTTTGGTCACCGAATACTCTCCAATAATGGTTGGTCGGCGGTACTCCGGGAATTCTTTATTTTGATACTTTTCGACTGAAACTTCCAGGAAGTCTTCTGACATCTAAATAAACAAAAGTAAATACACCGAATTGTAACCCTCTAGTTGTAACGAACCTTAGGATGTAATTCTGGAGGTTGAGGGAAGCTTGCATCTCTAATTCTCATGTCATTCAGTGACGATGTAGTAATATTTACAATCTCAACAATCCGAAGTAATAGAACAGAGAATTTTTCATTGATCCCTCCGCAAATACTAACAAGCTTATTCAACTGTGTTCTTTCTTTGTTGCACTCACGACTTTCAACGCTGCAAACTTGATTACTGCACATTCTCAACCCAACTTCAGTAACTTTTGAAAGCTTCATTTTGAAATATTTCTTAGTGTCCGGAACACATAATACAGTCCATGACTGATTCACCAGATTTAAACTGAATTTGTAATCAGAGCGACTTTTAAAAGAGAATTTGCCGGACGAATTTTTGTTGTGAAAATGAGCGGCGCCGGAACGGTTACTGAAATAGATCAAGTGAATAGTTTAGCTCAAAACTGCCAAGGCCACAATTTAAGAAAATTCGCTGAACGCTTCTACTAAATAGATATCCGTTTTCGCAATGCTTCTCTTGCTTTCCGTTGTCGTATCCTGATCTCCTTCTTGCTGCTGTAGAATGACCGTGTTTTCACACACTAATTTCGTAAATTTGAGACGTACCTTTTCATAACGTTCTCTCAAACTTATTCATTTCGATTCACGGGAACAGGCTTCAACGAATGAACAGAAACGTTTTTCCAGATCTCATGTACACCGAGGTACCGGATCAATAGTGTAATTTTTAAGATCTCCCAACATGATAGATTTATTTATTCCTCTCTCATCTCCACATTCATCTACGCATATTTCTGGTACCATCAAGCTAAGAAAAACCACGTCAATACTAGTTTGATTCTCTAATATACTTTAAAAAGGAATAAAGAAATGAATTCAGGGGCGAAGAACAAGCTAAAGATCTTAACGAGTACCGCAACCTTCAGCTTCATGTTAAGCCATGCAAACTGCTCTCAAGTCGTTTGCTGTGTTCAACAGATAATCGATTTTGGTTTTCTTTCCCGTTTAAAACTTTCCACTTTTCTAGTACCTGATCCACAACAACCCCAAGAAACTTCCATAAAACCTTCAATCCGCTTGCCACTCTGCAATAACGAAAAAAGCTGTGCACGTTATTTAGGTGTTTGGACTGAGTGCACTGAAGCATGCTTCTCTGACTTAATTACTCAAGTTATTGGTTCTAGACAATGCTTATTTAGAAGAATAAGACTGA